TTCGAGGGCGTGGGATTTCGAAGGTGGCAGAAGAAGATGCATTTCCTCCTGACGACGCTGAACGTCGTCTACGTGATAAGCACTCCTAGACCGGAAGAAACCGAAGAGGAGACATTGGCTGCGGCTCGCGTGCGGAACAAATGGAACAACGATAACTACGTGTGTTGCGGCCACATCCTTAACGGTATGTCCGATGAACTTTTTGATGTATATCAACACATAGATACCGCCAAAGCCCTGTGGGACTCGCTGGAGGCTAAATATGTCTCTGACGATGCCTCTAGCAAGAGATTTCTTGTAAGTAGTTTCAACTCTTACAAGATGGTGGACCTCACAGAAGTAGTCATCCTCGAGTGGGTAACGTTTTTAGATTGTTAAGAATCTGGGATATAAAAAGAAGAACAATAACAGAAAAGTAAATAGGAACCGGATAACTCTTCAAGGCGTAATACACTTTCCTAAAAACGTTATTCCGTCCTATACGAGCAAAGGACTTTCCGGAATACGTCTTTGAGATACAATGAAGAGAGAAGTGATCTTAGTTTGCTCTACTAAGAACACAAACACAAGAAATTGCAAGAAGAAGATGAACAAAAGGCTTTTGCGGGTGTTTTGCAAGAACAACCACAAAAGTGCTCTCAAATCTCTCAAAAAACGAATTAGATCTGTTCTTAATTGTGTTAGGATGTCCAGGGGTGTTAATCAACACTCCAAATGTCGAAAGGTGTGAAGAAATCGGAAGTTTTTCCCGAACGGTCGCGATTTTCCGCTCAATCCGAACTGCTCAGAAAAAACGGGCTGCCCGCCCGTTTTGTCGAGCTACCCGCCCGTTTATTTCTGAATTGCTCAGAAAAAACAGGCTGCTCTCCCGGTTTTCCCGAGCTACCGCCCATTTATTTATGAGCTTTATTCCTCAGAAAAAATAGGCTGCCAGCTCATATTTTCGAGCTGCCCTCCCATTTTTTCTGAGATTACCTTTCACGTTCAAAACCGAACGTAAACTCTTTCGACGTATCCCTAACACTTAGCCAATTCATACCACGTCTTTTACAAGCATTTAACTCCTCCACCATACTTGTAATACACGTTAAACATGAATCCTTTTGAGAGATTCTAAATTCCCATTCATTTACTCTAAAAATACCAACAAACTAAACTAATCCCCACTTCTCTTACTTCAATTTCATTTTTATTTTTTCCCATACGATAAAAATTAACTATCTATATATAACATTTTAAAATGTGAGTTTTTATTTTCATAATACAGTACAATGTTCTCTACAGCTGTGTTTTATTAGTTAGAATCAAAACTAAATAGTAAATTAGTCTATATTGTTTTTACGGAAATGTAATTTTAGAACAAAAAATTTACATCTGTAGTTTTATATAAAAAATAAAATAAAAATTGTTGACCCAAAAAAAAAACAGTGAAATCCGGGTATTTTGACTGTATTAACCTGAAATAATCCATTTTACATCCCAAATTTTGATGTTAAATAGATCGGTTTATATATATAAATTTGAACTAATTCTCTTACTCATAACTAAAATATGAAGTGGGAATCTCAATTATAAGATCCATTAGTCGGAAGTAGAGTTCTAATTATTCGGATGTTTAAATAATTTAATTTGTATCATATAATTAAAAGGGAGTTTAATAACTTTGAACGCTTTGGTAAGCTAACCAATGGGAGTCGTGCGTTGGTACATACATCATTACGATTCATTCATTATTCGCTAGTGAGATTTTATTTTTTGTTTTATAATCGAATCTTTCGTTCAATATTGAAAAAATGTAGGTAAATTAATTATTTATGGATTTTCAATACCATATACAGATGATAGATTACAGTAAAGTAGTTATAACACTTTTTCAAAACAAATCAATTGAAAAAATAAATAAATTTAATATAAAAATAACTTATAAAATATTTTTTAAAAAATAAATATTTTTTTATTAATAAAACGATAAAACATTAAACACAAATAAAAATCGAACCAAACAATTTTTCCTTCTCTTCATCGAGACTTTTCCCAAAAAAAACTAGATAATCAATTCATCAACTATGGTAAAATTTTTGTTTACATCAGTCAAAAGTGAAAACTACTGTTAATTTTGTGTGTGGATTAGTTATAATCCATCATTACAAACTAATAGCATAAGCAGTTTATGTTGCATCATTCCTACACCTCAACTAAACTTGATTTTCTATAGAAGTAAAATGTCTGAAAAACATAGTTTGGCTATCTAACCATGGCCCTTGTTAGATTTGCATTCACAAATATTATTTACAATTTTATTTTATACCCAAATATAAAGTGTTGCTACTATTATATTTTATTTTATTATTTACGTATTATATATGAATACATTTTTACCACAATTTCGTCTGATGATTAGAAAATCAATTTCTATACTTATTAACAAGTTTGAGACGTTTTGTGCCACTGTCGGTGCATAATTAGTGACCACCATACTTAATATATACATACATATATATATATATATGTGTATATTTAAATGGTGTACTTTAATTAATTAAAAATACTGTAATACACCAACGCATTACAGTAATAACCACTCAGATCATCATTCAACATTAACAAACAGCTCACTGCTCTTTTTCTTCTTCTTCTCCATCGTCTTCCTCCGGTCACTGCTCTACCATTTCCACTTCCTTGGTTCATCTTCCATTTTCCTTTTTCTGGATATTTTTTCCTTAATCATAAGATGCACGCGAAGACAGACTCGGAGGTGACAAGCCTCCCGGCGTCATCGCCGACGAGATCTCCCCGGAGACAAGAGTACTACGTGCAATCGCCGTCGCGTGACTCTCGCGACGGAGAGAAGATGGCGTCGTCGTTTCACTCGACGCCGGTGATAAGTCCGATGGGATCTCCGCCGCATTCTCAGTCCTCCATGGGTCACCACTCGCGGGAATCTTCCTCGAGCAGATTTTCGGGATCTCTGAAGCCTGGGTCGCGGAAGATCTCTCCGAACGACGCCGGAAAACGGAAGGGACACGGCGGCGGTGGCGGAGATAAGCAGTGGAAGGACTGTGCTGTAATCGAAGAAGAGGGTTTGCTTGATGACGAAGATCGAGACAAGGGTTTGCCTCGTCGGTGCTATATCTTGGCCTTTCTGGTTGGATTCTTCGCTCTGTTTACGTTCTTCTCTCTGATTCTCTATGGAGCCGCTAAACCTCAGAAGCCCAAGATCTCCGTGAAGGTTAGTTCATCCTTCTTTCTGGTTTTTTTTTGCTTTTCTGTGTTCTGTTGAAGTCAATGGAGATCTAGATTGTGCTTGATTTTGCTTTTTTTTTTGTAGTTTAATTCTCTTAAATTCATCGTTTCCAGTGAAGATCCAGCTCGAGATCTGGATTGGGCTTGATTTTGCTTTTGTTCATTTTAATTCTGCTGAAATCTTCCATTTATGATGCAGATTTAGCTCACTTTTTGCGTTTTTGATGGTTTAATTTTCTTTCTCGTTTGAAGGGTAAATCTAGAGCTGAGTTGTTCTTGTTCTCTTCTTCTATTTTCTCTTTTCTCAGTAGATCGAGAACAGAATTTCTCGAAACTTTAAAGCAGATCCAGAGCTGGGTTGTGCGTACTTTTAGCTTTCCTTGTCAAATTCGCAAAAACAAAACAAAATCTCAAACTGATTTGGTGAATCCGTGGTTCAATTTTGCAGAGCATAACATTCGAGCAGGTCAAAGTCCAAGCAGGGTCGGATTCTTCCGGAGTCGGGACGGACATGATCACCATGAATGCAACTCTGAGAATGTTGTACCGAAACACCGGCACTTTCTTCGGCGTTCATGTCTCTTCCTCTCCCATTGACATCACCTTCTCTCAGATCACGATTGGCTCTGGATCCGTAAGTCATTAACGAAACCCTCCACAGATCGACATCGACGGCAATGCCAGTAAATGGATTGATCTTGCATGCATAATTGGTTGTGTCAGAAAACGATCTTAACCCAAGTCTTTTCATCAAAGACTGCGCCTTTCTTTACTGATCGCTTAATGGGTTGTGGTGGATAACGATTCTGGACATTTCCTTCGAACCGGGATTCATTTCGCGGGTTTCGTTTTGCAGATCAAGAAGTTCTATCAGTCGAGGAAAAGCCAGGGATTGGTGACGGTGAATGTGATCGGAGACAAGATCCCTCTGTACGGAAGCGGTTCGAGCTTCATCCCTCCGCCTCCGGCTCCTGTCCCGACCACCACAAAAAGGAAGAAGGGCTCTCCAGCGGTGGTTTACGTCCCGGTCGTGCCACCGCCTGTCCCGATGAAGCTCAAATTCACGGTCAGGTCGAGGGCTTACGTGCTGGGCAAGTTAGTGCAGCCAAAATTCTACAAGAGAATCGAGTGTGACATCAACTACGAGCTCGAGAAACTCAATGTCAAGTTTTCTCTCAAGAACAACTGTACTTACACTTGACTTGGAGGAGCAAAACGCCACGGAGAAGCAAAACGGTGTCGTATGGATACAGCTCAACGGGCAGTCTTTTGGGCTGTTTGGGCAGGGCGTGTGCCTGCCCGATATACGTAACGAAGATTGGCGTGCGTCGGTGGCTTCGTGTTCATGGGAGTGATATATTTGTTTACTTTGGATTTTTTTTCTTTCTTTCTAAATATATACAATTATAGTTTATCGTTGTAGGAGGAAGAACGTGCTGAACAGATGGAATAATATTTTATTTATTTCTTTTACGTCTTTTTTTTGGTAATTTTTAGATTTATATAATGTGATTCTGTTATTTCGGGTATCTACAAATAAGAATTATTTATTTTGTAGTTAATTGTCCTGATTTTTTTCAAAAAAAATGTAGATAATTAAACATCGAAAATGTTTAATTCAACTATATTATTACCTTTACAATTAGGGTTTGTAAGAAAATACAAAATTTTGAGTTTGATCGGATTCATGAATTAAATATTTGAATTTTGCGAGTTTTATGTAGATATTATACTCTGGTCGCGATATTCAAATCTTATATATCAAAATTTTACAATCGGATATTCCGATTTAGAAAATTTAAGAATGATTATGCCGAATCAGTTACACTTAAAAATTCGGATAACTGATCCGTATCCTCTCCTAATTAGAATTGCGATGGAAAATTGCGTTTGCGTCATAAACGACGTTTTGGTTGGGAGTTATAAATCGCGTTTGTATGAACGCCAAACGCACCTTTAGGGATTGGGTAGTTGATGGACCCACGGAAACGAAGAAGATTGGGCCGAGAGAAAAACAGGCCCACCCGATAATGGGGTTACAATTAATTTGTCTAAATTATAGGGTCGAAAACATAATTTAGTGGTAAATATTGAGGGGCTGACCGTAAAAACTTTCTTCATCGTTCCCGTCCCGACCAAAAGTTTCCCCTTTCCCCGATTGCGTTTCCTCTATCTCTCTCCAGTTTCGCCATGGCTCTTCGTGACCACCACCATTTTCAGAAACAGCCACCGGATTCGAAGAATTTCAGCTGGTATTATGTTCTTTTATTTTTGTGGGTTTTGAAAAAAAAAAAAAAACTGTGATCGAATCAATTTCCAATATTTTCGACGTTTCTGATTGATTTCGTTGTCTGTTTCAGGGACTTGTGTGGGACCGATGATAAAATTTCTCCGGGACTTGGGTTCGACAGCTCTTCTAATCTCCATGATCAATCTCAGCATCCTCCGTATATTCTTCCTTGTAATTTTTATCTGATTTCCTTGTCATGTTTTTTTAGGGTTTCTGCATGTTTTTTGGATTATCGTTCATGAATCAGCGAGAATGCGGAACTGGAACTGTATTGGTTCGTGTTACTGGGTTTTAAGGGTTTATAGTTTTCTGGGTTTTCGTGATTTAGTGCGGAATCTAGAGTTTCTCACTTCAATTTACCGACTTCAATTACGATGATGTTATATGATTTTAGGGACTTGAATTTAGGGTTCTTAATTTTTTTTTATGGAATGTAAATCTCATTCAATCATAAGGTTTAGGGTTTTAAATTTGATGCTGGTTTAGATAAGACCCTCGGAATTAAATTTGTAGAGGTCTGGGAATTAGGAAAGGCATTTGAATTTAAAACGAAAGTTTCTTGTTCTTTTCCTATTTTGTGGTTAGCTTAGATTAGAAAGATTGCTTACAATGCTTCTTGCATCTGTTACGGTTAATGTTTTAGTTCATGTTCCGGGTATTGCACCGGGCCCTGTCGGGCGAATCGATGGTCCCGATGGAGCTGCTGCTGACTTACGGTGGAGCTATGGAGTTGAACCGAGACGAAAGAGAATAAAGGAACAGGATTTTTTAGAGAATAATTCTCAGATATCTTCGATTGACTTTATGCAAGCCCACTCTGTATCGACCGGATTGGGTCTTTCTCTTGACAATACCCGAATTGCTTCCTCGGATTGCTCCGCTTTCATGACGCTTATTGGAGATGATATTGACCGGGAATTGCAGAGGCAAGATGCTGAAGTTGAGAGATTTCTCAAGATTCAGGTATATCTTTGCATGAATTTCTTAGAACGTTCTATATTCTGGTCATCACCGGCATTATCAGTTGATTCATTTGCAGAACTCAATGTGACTGATGCCATAATGAAAGTTTATTTTCGGATTTCCGTGCTTAAAGTTAGATGCTTTCATACTTCAAGAGTAGTTGCTGCTCGTTAGGACAGGAAATATGATAACCAACATCATGTGTATATTTATTCATGTGTGTGTGGAAGTGGAACTGGTTCATCCATCTAGCTTCTTGTTGCATGTTTAGTTCATTTGTACTTTGTTCTTCTTTTCTTTTGTATGTTTTGTCTATTTGTTAAATCTCTGTGTTCATTTCATTTGAATCTTGATAGGGAGACCAACTAAGGGAAACAATCCTGGATAAGATTCAGGCAAACCAACTTCAAACAATATCTCTCATGGAGGAAAAGATCATCCAAAAACTCTGTGAAAAAGAAGCCGAAGTACAAACCATAAACCGAAAGAATAAGGAACTCGAGGTACGTACGGAACAGCTAACAATGGAAGCCGGGGCTTGGCAGCAACGGGCAAAGCACCATGAGAACATGGTCACCGCCCTGAAGTACAATCTCGAAAGCGTACATTCTCAGCCCCGAGACAGCAAAGAAGGGTGCGGGGACAGTGAGGTGGACGATACGGCTTCTTGCTGCAGCGGGAGAAACGTTTCGGGTAAGGAGAGATTTTCAGGTCGGGAGAGAATGATGTGCAAGTTTTGTGGAGGGAA